CTCTCTCTCTCTCTCTCTCTCTCTCTCTCTCTCTCTCTCTCTCTCTCCCTCTCTTCTTCCTTCCTGGTGCCATGTTCCCAGGTGCTTTCCTCTGCCACATGCATCCACCATGATTTTCTGCCTCATGTCAGGCCCCAAGAAATGGAGTCAGTCTCCTATGAATTGAGACCTCTGTAACCACAAGCTCCCAACTAAACTTTTCCTCCTTGTAATTGTTCTTGTTAGATCTTTGGTCACAGCAATGAACAAAGCTGACTAAAACATATAATAAAAAAGTAAAATAATAAAATAGGGACAACTTTCTTATTAGTTATGAGTTAAAGTTAAAATAAGTTTCTTATTTTAAGAAAATATCTTATAAGTTATGAGTTCATATTATGACCCACATACCAAATCCAACCACTAATATGTGTGCTTCTTAAAAATGTGTCCATGTTATATTTTTTCTTAAAAAATGGGATGTCTTACATTTTCAATTATCCCTTTTTACTCCAGACATAATTTGAGCTAGGAATATAATGAATCCTTTCTACACTTACCTCTTCCTCTCTTATGTAAGTCGGTCACTAAATTGTTTAAAATCATGAATTTCAAAGTTAGCTTTGCTTTGTTCCCCAGCAAATGACCTCCCTTGTCTGGGTTAGCCAGTACTGAAAATCTGTACCGTTTCAAAACAGGAACTAGTATATTAAAAAAAACAAAAAAGTGAGAGGATCAGCACAAATCCATCATCACTACAAGAAAAACAACTCAACCCACATACCCTGCTGTTGATGGGTCAGCAGAATGCATTTCAACCTGAAGGGCAGCATTATATGTCTGGGAATATAATTAGATTCTATGGAATAAAGACAAACACTTCTACTTCGCAGTTGAAAGCTTAAAACTAAATAGGCCTTTGAAATCATGAGGTTGGCTGCTCACCAAGGTGACATCAAGGTAACTCCATGACAGAATCATGGTATTCAGTGAAAGGGAACAGGAGACACATTGAAAATGATTTCCCTATGGGCAAGGAGTTAACTGAGTTTATGGACTACAGACATTGTGTTAAGGAAGTAAGTTTAAATCACAGGTGGCTTGATAAAGACTTAATGGTTACCAGGCATTTAAAGCTGTAATGAATCTTGCTTTAGACAAATCTTACAGCTGTATGTTCTTAAGACAAGTGAAGTCATGTGATTTATAGACTTTTTCTCCTGTGCAATCTTGTAGTGAACTTCAAAGTTGAGGTCCCAAACTACTGCAATTTGGTAGTGAAAAGTCAAAATATGTTCTTAAAATCAAGGAAAGCCAGATAAACCTCAAAACGGAAGAGTCTTTTTTTTTTTCTCTTCTATTTCACCTTTTGATAAGATTTGAATGTAGCAGGCATATAAGCATTTAGGGTAAAAAAAAAATCAACGTTAAGCACTTGGAAGCCTATCATTGCAAAATATTTATATTTTTGGATTTATATTTTTTATATTTTTGGAAAAAAATATATATATATATTTGACCCAGAGCAGGAATAATGACAAGTGATAGAACTGGGTTATAATCTCCTAAATCTCAGGCTAACTGGTTTCTTCCTAAAAAACATAAATAAATAAAAGAAGATAAAAGGATACCATACTGTATTTTCAATCAATATTGTTTTAAAAAAGATATCTACCTTTCCTCCATCAGCATTATATTCTTTTTCATCTCCTTCCAAGAGTCTGGCTAATCCAAAATCTGTGATTTTCACATGGTTTGGCGATTTCACTAACACATTGCGAGCTGCCAAGTCCCGATGAACAAGCCGTCTTTCTTCTAGGTACATCATTCCCTGAAAAACATCAAAATCCACTAAGACGGTTAGTTAACGCCCAGCTTTTTCCATATTCTAAGAAGGAATCTCAGCATTTAATTGAAAGTGTTTCTTTTTTTTTTAAAGTGAAATCAGTATTCTGAAATATTTTCACAATTAAAGAAAACTTTGGGGAGCGGAGCAGCTATCTTTTTGCCTTTCCTCCTAAAGTCGTCTAAAGTAAACTGAATCATCTGACCATGAACTGAATGTCAGATTGTTCTCCTCAGAGACCAGATACCCGTTTGCAATCCCTTCATTTTTGAGGTGTGTAGGTGTCTTAGCAGGTCAGCTCACATATACTTATACTGACCCACATATTCCTCACCATTTTTTCTCCATAGCTTCAGCTTAATGTCATTTTGCCTTGCACACTCACTCAAAACAAATACATCTCTCAATAATTTTTAAAAATATTTCATTTGGGCCTTAATGGTTCCAGAATCTCCATTACAGATTCTATTAAGGCTGAAGAATGATATTATTCTTATTATGAATGCACAGGATGAAGTATACCCTTGGGGTCTTGAAAGCATATAATTTTTTAAAAAGCTTCTCTGACATTAGTTGTTATTATAAGAACCCACAGGTTGAATTACACAGCTCATAAAGAATCACAATTAGACTTTAACATGTTATCTTCAAAACCTTAGAAAGAAATCAAAAATAAAATCCATTGCTGATTGCTAACAAGATATAATAGCTGACTCCCCCATACATACACATGTTATTTATATAAAGTATATATTAATATCTATGTGAATTCATAAAAGTAGTGATCCATACTAGTAATAATTAGTTTATTAATTGTACCTCAGTGGTGGGGAGACTTAGAGCTATTAAACACTACTCTTAATTAAAAATTTCATGTAAAAGCAAGACATTCAACTCAGAGGCATAGCTTAGATTAGAGTGAATGTACTTTTATTGAAGTATTAAGGAAAATTCTATAGTCAACAATTTCATTGTCAAAAAAGTCATCATTCACAAATAGATGAGAATTATACAATGGTTGAAGCATACTCTCATGCCAATTGCAAATCAATGCGGTTGGCGGTTAACATTACAACTGTAGGACTTTGAAGGATTAATGGTTTCTGATACCAAAACAAAAGCTGTGGAAAACACACACATAAATCACATAGGTCAAAAAATTATGAACCGTATACCTGATGCAGTGTAAAGAGAAGATTGCTTCAAACAGCATCATGGACCAAACTCCATATAAATGCCCATTAAATACAACTGGTGGAGATGGAGATGCCACCTGCTATGGGCCAATCAGTCAACAGTTAGGTGACATCATATGTATTAGTGTTTTCTGAAATCAACCCACAAATGATATTTATGGCATTATTGCCCTCTTTCCTACATAGTACTTTCTCTTTGAGTATACCCCATTGAAAATTCCTAAAATAAGGTGAATCTGAGCATATATAACCCTTATATGACTCAGAATCAAAAATAAATAAATCTATCACTTAGGAGATAGAGTATTTTTATGTCCCCCTAAATTATTTGTCCCTTTAAGAAATGTTAACAAAACATCCATCATTCTGTTTCTTAACACCTGCACATCAGAATATAGAAAGTGTGTTGGCCACAAGTAAAGATAGGTCCATACATGTCTTAACACATACAATGTTCCCCAATACTGCAAGACTCTGGGGAGACAACAGGGAGTCAGGTAAGGCATATGCATTAAAGGAAGACAGATGCTAATTAATGAAGTGGGAAGATATGGAATAAAAAGTCAAATGAATTTCTGTGATACGTGCAAGGCATTTAAGGATAGCTGTATTCTGAGAAATTTTTTTAGTATTGCTTAGCAAGTGTGCTTGAGAGGAAAGGTCCCCACACCTAAGTAAGGTTTAGAGAACAAAACTGCAGGCAGAAAGAACAAGCATGGACCTCAGTAAGCTGTGTACTTGGATAAAGCTATATAATTCTGTATTTCTGTATCACAGTACATGAGAGAGGGGTAGAGATAAGCAGTGAGATGGAAAAGATACAAACAGGCCAGATCCAAGAAGGGCCCCTTACACGTCAAGGGAGAGAACTTTGAGTTTTGTTTTATACAGTATACATCTCAGTAATAAGAAAGCTGTTATAAATGGGGAGTGATCCAATTTGCACTAGAATCTTGAAAACATTCCTCTGATGCCAGAAACAGAGGATGGATTAGCCACAAATGTAATCACAGTACAGAAGAAAACTGACAATGATGTAAAGTTCAGTTTGAAAGCTGGCAGTCCATGAGTTACACCCACTTTCAGACTTTTTAAACTGAGTCTCCACACAGGGCAGGGAGTCACTCACTCTCTCTAGCTGAGCACCGTTTAGGACATCTGATCTCTAGTTTGCCAGGATCCTACCACTCATTATTACTTTTCAGGAAGTTTGCTTGTATCATTTATGATACTCTGGCTCATAATGAGTATGAGTCTTCTAAACTAGGCCAGAAGTAATACTACAGAGAGGATAATTCCAAGGTGTATTTGCAAAATAAAATGATCATCCTTGGTAACTGATTGAAAAATGAAGGACAAGTAAACTGAGAATAATTGTTTTTTTAGACTTTGTAATTTAGGTAGATAATGATTCCTTGAACTAAATAGCATTGTAATAGAAAAGCAGTTTGTTTCTTAAACATGTACAAGAATAGTAATATATATTTTACCAACAGAGAACTAACATTCTGCAAGAAACGTAAGATACTACAATGGTATGAATGTTAGTGCCCCTTCCAAATTCATCTGTTGAAATCCTACCCTAAAGTGTGATAATATTAAGAGATGAGGACTTTGAGAGCCCTTAAGAATGGTATGAATGACCTCAGAGAGATCCTTAGCTTTTTCAGTCCTATAAGCAATCAGGAAATGGGTCCACACCAGACACCAAATTGGTGGGCAACTTGACCTTGGACTTGCTAGCCTCCAGCATTATAAGAAAAAAAAATCTGTTGTTTTTAAGTCACTCAGTTTTGTATTTTGTCATAGTGGCCCAAACAAAGATACTGTAATGACATTCCACAATACACACAAATATTTCCAAAATTCTAATAGTTCTTTGGTATTCCATATGCAAAACTTTAGTAGACGATACACTATCTTTAACCTTCATACCATTTGTCCAGAAAAAGTAATTTCTTCATAATAACAAGAATTCAATCCAATGTCCAGTCTATATAATTTTCTTCACCAATCTGGTCATCATTAATAGCAATTTAAAAAAAAGAAAACAGAACTGCATATAATTACCAAACCATCTAAAAAGGTTTGAACAGTTGCTTTGTAACTAAAAAATATCATTGTGCAGAGACATACTTTCAAATCTTTAATATGACTGCCACTTTTGGCCCACTTTAACACCTAGAATTAAAAGGTTGAATAGTCTCTGGATTTTTCTTAAAAGGTTACTTCACAAAACAAGTCATTAAGACAAAATTTTCTTACTGAAAGATCTCATTAAGGTCACATTTTCTGCTAGATTCCTTCAAAATGAAATCCCTCTTAAGGTTAAAAGTGTGATGGACTAAGGAGGCAGACAGTTGCTTGAAGAAGAAATAATAAATATAAACTGAATGAAGTCCCTGGAAGTTTGAGGATTAATCACAAAAAACCATTCATTATGGTAGAGAGATGTTGTACCAGTAGGAAGAGAAATCTTCTCTACCCCAGAGCAGCTCCCATGACCAGGCCAGGCCAGGTAGGGTACTTGATGGGACTGCCTATATACCACAGCTAACATTGACCAGAATTTGGGACACAGCAGGCACCAACAGAATGCTTCTACTTTGGTTATTTAAAATAATCCTATGAAATACACACTATTTTCAATCTCATTATAAATATGAGAAAGTTCAGGCTAATAGAGGTAATTTTACTTGTTCCAACTCAAGCAGCTAATGAGTGTTAGAAGTGGGATTTGATCCCTTGCTGTGGGACTCTGGAGCCTACACATTTAAGTCTATCCCCCCTTAAACACTTCAGAGGGACATGTGGGCTTGGAGAAATTAATGCGTATAATTATATTCTGTGACTTTGAAAGATCCTTATTTTTTTTTTCTAAGAAAAAACAATACCATAAGAGATTTCAATGAATTTTAGCACATAATGCAATTGATTAATTTATAAAAAATTTATACTTAAAATCCAGTTAAATTGCAGAGCTGTTTGTAATTTAGCAGGAATTTTAATTATATAAGTTCAAGACTCCATTCTTACTTTGATCCCAGAGTATGCAGATGGTCCAGTGGGGATGGGTGTAGAATCTGGAGTCAATCACCTGGTTCAATCCCCAGCTTGGCCATCTTCTAGATGTGTGACTCTGAACAAGTTATTTTAACCTTTCTGTGAATAGCACCTGTCCCACAGGTTATTGTGAGGATTAAATAGTATACTCAAAGCACTTACATAGTAACTTGGTATGTAGTAGGTATAGAACATGCAAACTTTTAGTATTGCTTCAAAGATAAATATCAACAGTCCTAGAATGGACAAGAATTACCCTCATTAACTTGGACTGTCTATTTTTTTAAAAAAAATCAAACCTCAGCTTATATATCACAGTGGGTATTCAATAAATGTTTGCAAATGGGGATATATATACCCATAACTTACCAACTATAATTAATTCATGGATACAAATTTCAGAATTATTACTATTTGAAATCTCATTTTAATAATGATACACCTGAGAAATCTGCCATATAATGAGAAAGAACTATTAGGGAGTATATTAAGGGATTTGACACATTCCATAAATACATCAAAGATTTCAGGAACTTACTGAAGATAAAAGTCACAAGCAAGATAGATCTAAAAGTCTTCAATGCTTCAGAATGTTTTCTATGAGTTAATAAAATAGTACATTTGCCATAACAGAGTCTGCTATTTATCACACAGCACGGAAGAGGGTTTTTGGTAAATGTTTGAGAGGCAATTTTACCCATTTCATGATCCAAGTGCTGTAAGTCT